TCGCTTCTCGCTCTCTCCTGCGTGTGGCGTTTAGCAAATAATTTCCCGGTTTATGAAATGAGCGAGAGAGGGTATAACCGGACCTGAATTGCCTTCTCCCTTTCCTGCCAATTTTATGGAAATCTTTTTGGTATTGATTATTTGAGGCGAAGAGTAATTCCGTTTCCTTCGAGGGAGAATAGGGAGTTCAGAGTGGCCCTATAGCTGAAGGTGGAAGAGAAAGGAAGAGCTCGCGGGAGATAACACAATGGCTTCTTCTAGCTGGCTCTCCATGCTGTATCCTAGGTTTCTTAGAAGTTGTCATGGATTACATACTTGAGATGTGATGGTGTTTTGTTTCTTGGATTTAATGTGCATGAAGCGCTGTCGAGTAACATCCGTGAGAAGAGGAAGGGCTCACTGATGATGCACCACAGGGCTAGATAAAGGTCATGCCATTGTTGAATGCTTGTGTGGATTTTCAATAAAAGACTTTTGAGGAAGTGATTGAAATATGATTTTATTGTGAGGAGGTTATTCAGGATTCTGACCAAAGGTTTGCAAAACTCTCTTATCAATCCTGGATGGACAAAAGACTTCTTGAATACCGTTCAACTTTTTTTGGTTCCTTTTATTCACCTGTGAGAAGTTTCAATCAGTGGGAAGTTTCAACCAATCACTGAGCTTGATACAGGTAACAGGAGTATATACTGTAGGCTGTACACAGAAGTTAAAAATTGTGGTACTCCATCCAGCAACTGAACTTTATGCTTAACCCTTGTGGAAGCTACGTCCAGGGAATTATGCATTGGCAGTACTCAAAGTAGTTTCCTTTGGGTAAGTTTTGCAGAGGATATGACCACCATGTAATGACATCCAACATCACGACCCCATATCATTAGTGATATCAGCATTTAAAAAGATAACTTTCTCATTATTTCTCCCAACAAAATTCTGAAACTTTAAGTAACTACTCAGTTTGTCAAATGTTCTATTTCTATTTATGCCAACTCTATTGTGGGCCAAGGGTTCATTAAGTCTCAAACTTCTTAGCTATATTTTCTTTTGTGCTGTGTTTTTCAGTAATATGTGTATATATATATATATATATATATATATATATATATATACTTCTACTTATTGCATTTTGTTTAGATCATACTTGGTGCTCACCGCCCTCATTTCCCTCTGTTTGTTTCAAGTCTTTTAGCTATAGAGCAGAAGATAAAGTTGATATTTAAATGTGAATTAATGTAAAATTTCTTTAGAAATATTGAAATATTATGTTTGAATTTTTTTTATAACAAATTTCCTGAAATTTTTTCCGAAAATTGTGGTGGAATTACCACATTAACATTTTTTCCTTCATGTTTATGATTCGTTTCTTTGAAAATCTGTCTACATAAAGACAGTAGACACAGAAACATTTAAGAATGTTTACAGGTTCAGCCATAAATTGCTTTAAAAACTGTTGTGGTCTTGTGTTGGCTATAGTACAGTCGTAGATGATCAATATTAATATCATAAACCGGTTTTCCTCAAGATATGATATTAAACTGTTCTCAATCTTCTCATCCATCTCATATTCATCTAATGATGAATCTTCTTATTTATCTCATATTCATCTAAGGATGAATCTTCTTATCTTCAGAGTTCATCCAATAATGCATTTGTTTTTGTTTGTTTTGCCTTCATGATGGGCTCAGCAATTGCAATTATCACAGGCATAGGGGATAAAAGGAGAACAGGAATTGGTGATTTACTTCTTCTTAGCGGAATGGCTCCATTTAGTTTAGGGTTTGATTTGCTTGGCTATGCGCTAGATTAGCAGACGCACAGATGGAAGAGAGTTCAAAGTCGTGTCTGTTTCTCACTCGTTGGATAGCTAAAGAGGTGGGGAGAGAAGGCGGGGGTAGAGGGAGGGAGGGGGAGGGAGAAAGAGGGAGGGAGGAAGGAAGGGACAGAGGGAGGGAGGGAAAGAGAGAGAGAGAAAAAGTTTGAGAGGGGAGGTGGAGGGGAAAGAGGGAGAATGGAGAGAAGGAAGGGGAGAGAGTGAAAGAGAGGGACGACGGGAAGGGGGTAGAGAGAGAGAGGGAGCCTGGTGTAAGAAAGATCCGATTTTACTCACATGTGACTAATGACGAGTGAACAACAAAACTGTGATTTGTTGAAGGGAAATTTAACCTTGATAGCAAAGTACTCTGGAGGAAAGCAGAAAGACAGCCTGGGGAAAGTTTGAATGAAATCAGACGGAAAGTGAGAAAGTTATGAAATTATTAAATTTGTAATCACTATGATATGGGCTCGTCAAATTGGCTGAATCGGTTTTGTCTCTGTGATGTAGTGGAGGACAACTTCCCCATTTGTTCCAACACACAAAATGACTAAAATCTGAATTTTTCAAAAATTAGAGGACCTATAGTTAATATTCTCGCCATAATGTTGAGTAGTGTCCCAAGGGAGAAGGCACTAAAAAGAAAAAGAAAAATTAAAGATATTTGTTTACATTTACACAGCAAACAGGAGGGTTATCCGCAACTACGGCACAAGCCACTGATCAACTGCCAATTTTAGAATCGCATATAGTTAGGGATATCATATTTCAAACATTCATAACTTTATTATTATTTGTCCAATTTATTCCCAACTTTCACCGCTTGTATTTTTGCATTCATACAAATGAACTTTAACGACAAGGGTCAGATTGCCCTTTAAATATAAAGACCAGTTATGGTCATGCGATTGCATTGTGAAAGAAACATTGTCGAATCGATCAGAAAAGGTTGATCATCTAGCATATAAGTATTGGTGTGTACTGCAAGGTTCTGGAATCATCAAAATGATAAGATATTTGGCCCAGTCTTCGTAAAGTTACAAGCACTGTACCCAGAAAGATATATATGGTACTACGCACACGTGGGCAACACGTGCGTTTATCTCTCACAGTCAAATAGATAAACTAATTTACCAAATATATCGATTAGTAGGCGGTTTCTCAGCAAATTTTTTATCATCATGTATTAGTCAAAACATATTCTTTCACATGATTGGTAATTAAGAGCTTCCATTTCATTTTTTGAAATGGGGGTGTTTCCAATACTGGTCTTTACCTTTAAGTGACCTGAATAGCCTGGTTACTTCACTGTACAGGTGGGCCTGGGAATCCCCTCCCCCACACCCAGTCTCTCCCATTCTGTTGGAACTTAGATCATAATTTGTGATGCCATACATTTACATGGAGAGCATCCCATTTCTTATGAGCCTAAATTACTCAAATGTATCCCTTTTCTACATTCTTACGGTGAAATATACAAGGGGAGCGATATATAAATATGGAAAAAGAGGTCCTGTTTTAGCACTTGATATATTGATAACCTAACCAAAACTCACTCTGTGGACATACTTATGCAGAGAGGCAGCTTGTATTATTTTGATCACTTTACTTGCTTGACACCATTAAAAAAGACCATTAATGGTCTTTTTAATCAGGTTCGACCAAATTAATCTGTCTATCGTCAACATGCCATGCATGCCTGAGCCATACAGATAAAACATGTACCGGTACATGTATGAAAATGAGAAATTGCTGAAGATTTCTTACTTTCTACATTTATTCTATTCCTCATCCATCTGTAGTCTACCTATTCCTCAAAATATAAACATCCCCCCCCCAAAAGGCCAACAGAATTTGCTGATTTTTCTATGTTATTACTTTTATTTTATTCCTCATCCATATGTACATGTAGTCTATCTATTCCTCTAAATGTAAACAGCCCACCCCCCCCCCCCCCCCCCCCAGAAAAAAAAGAGAGAACCCCCCCCCCCCCTCAAAAAAAAAAAAAAGACCCTAAAAAACTCATAAGAGAGACATTGAATTGGCTAGAAGGTTTCCTCATTAATGTAATGCAGGATCTAAATCTTGAATACTGCATGCATATTCCTTGACAGAACTCCATTTTATCTTTACAAATTATGGTAAAATCTTAGGTAAAATCCATAGATTAGGCATCTTCCTTTCATCTGTATCATTCTTTTTCATCACCATCATATTCTCATCCCTTAAAGGGATCGTTTAACAATGTTAAATCTGAGAAACACGGTCCTACATGTACATGCTACCAGTGTCTGTGATATGGTGTAATATTGAAGCCCTAAAAAAATCGCGCTTCAAAATGATCAAGAAGTGCCTCAAAAAAGTAAAAAATCTTTGAGTGACCCGTTTTACCATACTCGTTTTCCCCAATAGACTGTAGTGTTATGAAAACCGTTCGGTGAACAGTTTTCAAAATTTGTAATTCCAATCATGAATATCTTGATAATCAGACAGGCGATCAGCTTGCAAAATTCATGGAGTTCCTGACTGACCTAAAGGTTTATAATTATCATTGCAGCATGAGCTAAATCAAGGATTATTTCTAAAGGATCTAAGACAAAGTTACCGGATCCATTTAATTTTGTTCTTTTTTTAATTGTTATCCATCAAAGTCAAGTTCCCAACATCATTTACTTTTGTCAGTGATTATTGCCTAAATTGTCTTTTTTGTATAATTCTGCTTATATCCACATTATAAAGAAACAAATTTGCATGAGCATATCACTTTAATTGTCTTTTATTTTATTTTATTATCTTTTTTATTTATTCTGTTTATACCCATCAAAACTCAAACATAATTATGATTTGGGGGAGGCTGACTTTAACTGTACAATGGTGTAAAATTGTGTCTTATCCATGTACATTGTTGTATGCGGTACATTATAATGAAGATAAGATTCCATCAATTAACCAATAGTTAGTGAAATTCTGTAACTTACTTATGATATTTGTTGCACTTGAATTTTCTTCAAGAGTTAAGAAATTCCCTAATGAACGATTAACTGATTTGTTTTTAGCTTTTGTTTTATGTTTTAATGTACTTGGGGTGGGGTGGGGGGGGGGGCGGGCTATTAAAATAAGGGAATTACATATTTCTCTGTAACACTTCTAATTCTGTGGCAGGTTAATGAACCTAATTGTCATTGAAATATGGACTGGCTAATATTGATGCTTCTTTGACGTGGTTGGATTGTAATAGTCGACTTTGAAACCTGACCTCTCTGAAAAGGCTTGCATTTATGTCTGGAAATTCCTCTCTCTGGCCAGTTTGAAAAAAAGATGTTCCAGTCTTTTATCTTGATCAACACATTCACCTCACCCAAGGTGCCCTTAACTTGAGCCTGGCGTAGCCCTGCCAAAATATAATAAACCAATCCTCAAATATAGATTCGCATTTCCTCTCCTGTTTATTCCTGATTTCAAGTAACATGCGGCTTCTTCTGGATTAGCAGGGTAAAAATATTCACACGTTATCCTTATCTCACGAGGAGCTCTCTGTTTTTAAAGTCACGGAGAGATCGCGTGAGGTATGAGGCTGTTTGTAGTTTATCTCAGTTAGGCCGCGGTTATGTAATAGTCATGGGTGCAAAAGTGTAAAGAGAGGAGGGGGCTAAAAATACACGTGAGAGACGGATAGGGGGACTTTGCGCTCCAATATCGGGCAAGGTCATAGCTCACCAATTTCTTTGAAGGCTTGATCATTTAGCGAGTTGGGAAGAAGTCATAGAAGCCGATTTTATTTCCCTCTCTTGCTCTAGCTTGAATGTATGTGAGCAGTGTCATTGCCTCTCTACCCCCTCTTGCCGACGGGAGCTATTATAGAGAGCTATTTAGCGACATCAGCGCCAGTAGAGATTAATTAAAAGTGAGTGTGATTCACTAGGCATTGGTTGAGCCTCCGAATTGGATGGGGGAAGCCGACACCTCGTGCTACCGCTGCAAGCCCCATCGGAGCTAGGAAACGTTGGAGCCCTTGTTTTGTTTGGAGCGCCACGCTGCGGCAACGGCTAGCCGGCAGAGGCTCGGTTGGCCTGGCTAACCCACGCACTCTTGGCCGTTGACAGGGAGACGGCGTATGACAGTAGCAGCTCTCGCCAGGTGACTTCTCTTTCCACTCTCATGTTCTCATTCTTTTGACAGATTTTACTCACAGAAATAGATTCTTGTCTTTGAGAACATTCTCATAATACATTTTGACTTCTGTTGATATCATACTGTGGATACTTCCTATCAAATTGTATCATTGTCTATGTAATACTTCCTTACTCTGTGTTACTGGTTTCAATTGCAATACTTGACTTAATTGATATCACTTCTATAATTTGTTCTTTGTATCACTTCTTATTATTTCATTATTATTATTTATGTATCCTAAAAATCAAGGGGATTCTTTATCTTTCCTATTCTAAGAATTTATATGATCTGTTTTGGTGGTTTTGGGGAGAGCTTTTGTATTTGCTCAGGGCATATATTGAAAACTATTTCTTAAATATGTGTGTATTTATTTATTCTAAAGATCAAGGTCATTTATCTTTCTTATTCTAAGAATTTATATGATCACTTTTGATTGATTATGGGAATTCATAGTAGCGACTATTTGGCATCAACTCAATCATTTCTCTATTTTGGGGGAGCTTTTGTATTTGCTCTGGACATATATTGAAAACTATTTCTTAAATATTTTTTCTCTTGGTAAGAGTGCTTTTGGTATAGTAAAAATTGATTATTTTAGTTATTTTTACAAACATAACTTTCACTTTTTCATACTAGATTGGTTGTTCTTCTACTTTTACCCCCTTTTTTTTTCTTTCTTTCTTTTTCTTCTTTTTATTTACATTCTTATTTTGATTTTCTGTTTGCAATAAACATTCTTTATCAAAAAAAATCCACATTAAAGATTTGACAATGTGTAGATCTTTACTTCATCTTGATCATTTTTGAAGTTACAATCTATGGCACATTTTCAAAACATGTTATTAGATGGAAACGTAATAGAGAAATATAGTTATTATTGTCTCTTTGTATTTTGATTTACAAAAATTTGATTTTATAACATCAAAAGTTTGCTTATTTTTAAAATAATTTTGATTTACTTGTATTAGGATAAAGATAGTTTGTTACTTTTGGCTAGAAAATTAAGTGTTTCAGACTTTGGAGAATGGTTGCAAGAATTGTCATTTTTTAAAGGTTTGAATGTAAAGGGAACTTCCCCGAATTCCACATTGACCAATGGATTATTAAACAAGAATAAGCTAGTGTTCTAGTAATCTCCCAAAGCAACATCTTTATTTTAATGCTACACTTTTGTAATTCTTCTTGTTTTATCCTATTCTTCTGTCTTCTCTTGGTGTTTTTAGTATTAATTTGCACCCTATAATTACTTGTACTTTTGCTTTATATTTGTATTCTTGGTTTGGCTTTTTCGTTTCTCCTTTTTCTCTTCATTTTCCTACTCCTTTTCCTACTTGAATTTCTTGTTCTCCTTCTGTATCCTTCTGCTCTTTTGTCTTCTACTTTTTTCTTCTTATTTTAATCTCTTTCCTTTTCTCCCACCTCCTTTCTTCTTATCTTCTTCTTCTCCTTCTCCTTATTCTTCTTCTCCTTTTTCTTCATCTTCATCTTCTCCTTCTTTAACTTCATTAACATGTCCTATTTTTTTTCTTTCCCTCCATCCTCTGTCTCGGTTTGGGTAGGAAAGAGTTTACACAATTACTTTTATGGATGTTATGAAAAAATAAAATATTCAGAAACTTATTTAAACCCCAACGTGAAACATTTTAAAGAGAAGGAATATATGTGAGAAGCATGACTATTTTTGCAACCAAAGACAAAAATAATTTTATCTGCTCCATCATTTACCCCAATTTCAAATTATGTATAAATGCACTAAATGCAATACCCAGACTATATGCTATATAGCTTGAATTTTTTGTGACCAACATAACTTTTGTGTCTAGTGCAGCAACAAGTCACAGCAATGAAAGCATTTATACTGTGGAGCACTTTTGCTCCATTTCTTTAATTCATTTTATCGAAATCCCTGCTACTTTGAAAAGATATATCTCGGTGAATACATGCAGGCCTATCCTGAAAGTAACCTTCATAATTGGTGTTTCATAACTGTTTACGGTGGAAAAACCCGGGGAAATCATGAAGCGGAAACAGATTTACACCCACATAATACCTTCCTCATCTGTTCTGACAAGATAATTAAAAGAAAGGGGGCGATAGAAAATAAATATAATAGTGTTGAAAGTGGGATTCATTATTGATTTTTGTTATATGTTGTGATCCAAAATATTATGTTAATCTGGGCAAATTATTACACTTGTTGCATTATTGTGTTTAAGAATTGTATAGTATCTTTATCTTGCATTACGCAAGTGTTTTCTTCCCCCCATCCCATCTCTCTCTCTCTCTCTCTCTCTCTCTCTTTCTCTCTCTCTCTCTCTCTCTCTCTCTCTCTCTCTTTCTCTCTACCTACCTCTCTACCTACCTAACAATACATACACATGTATTCAGTATTATTTCGACTTTCAGAATATTGCAAGGGAACTGTTTTTCAGAAAATCAATGTAAATCAATTTACTTTTCGCTTTGAGGAATAATGCCACACCCCCTCTCTCATTCCATGAAACTGGATTAAAGAGAAATTACAGATTTTGCATAATTTTATTGTCTTTTCAAAGCCAGAATGGTATAAATGTCCCTCTAAAGTATTGGGAACCCCAAAAATTTGATGGCAAAGTTTCACTTAAATTGTATCAAAATGTGAAAAGGGATGTCATTTAAGACACATTTCACCAAGGACTTTCAAAACAAATGTGTTTGAAGTCGAATATTGATGAAAGAGTACAAAATTTAGGTTTTCTGCGTACAATAGAAAACGTAAATTATTTTTTTTTTAAATCAATATTTGTCTTCAAACACATTTTTTTTTTTTTTTTTTTTTTGGGGGGGGGGTAAATCTTTGCAGAGGTGTGTCTTCAATGACATCCTCTTTCACATTATGTTACAATTGAAGTGAGATTTTGCCATCAATTTTGGGGCAATTTGGGCCTCCCAACACTTAAGAGGGGCTTTAACACTGTATCTAAGTATATCGGGAGTTGCAGGTAATGTCCTTATGGCTCCAAACAGACCATGATAATGTTTGCCTATGAATGTGCACATTTTTAACCTTGCAAATATCACTGCAACATCAATATTTTGCTTTTCAAACTTGTCCTATTAGTATGTTTTGGCAAGCAAATTTGTGAAATAAATTGTATCTACCTTGAACTTAGCTGTGCATGTAGTAGAATTACGGTATCCAGTAATTCAGGCTGTTTGCCAAGATGTTTGAACTTTTTCTCTTGAAACACATGTATAAGATACAGGTGTCGTAGGCACTTGGGGGAGGCGAATATTTTTTTTACACGCTAGTCTGGCCAGTTTCGCCGTAATACTAGTAAAAGTGCGCTGGAGGTAAAGCCTACATATAGGCATGCACTAGGCCTACCGCAGTTTAACTTGATTGCTCTCTAGCTGAACGTTCGGTCGTTCGTGTCTCAAGCTTAGATCAAGATTAATGTAAAGTTCCTAAATTAAATTAAAATAGATTAAGTTTTTGAATTCCATCGCCCAATGGCTGAGATGGCCGTCTCATTTAAAAGGGCCAGCTGTGTCTTTATCTGATGATTGTCATGCACGATGTACATGTTTATCATCATGCTCCTCGCATGTAGGCTGCTAGACTAATATTAGTCGTTTCAATGGTGTTTATCATAGAAATGGCCAGGCTAGCGTGTAAAAAAAAATTGCGCTTGGGGGAGGGGGTGGGGGCGGGGCATGTGCTCCCTTAAATGAGGGGGGGGGGAATGTATCAGAGAGAAAGGGAAAGGTAGATGGGAAAGAGGATCAGAAAAGAAAAAGTCTGGACCAACTCCTGCATTGATCCTCCCCCTTAAAGGGATTGGGTATCTTTGCCTCAGATTCTAAACAAAATCCTGGCTTTAGCTCATGCTACAATCATAATTATAAACCGTAGGTCAGTTATCAAAATATTTATGATTGGAAATGTCAAAAAACGTTTTCCTAAAGGTTTTTATAACATTGCAGTCTATTGGAGAAAATGAGTATGGTAAAACCAGTCACCTGAAGATTTTTTACTCTTTTGCGGCTTTCATGATCATTTTCAAGTGCATTTGTTTTTAGGGCTTCAATTTTACACCATATCACAGACACTGATTACACGAAGGGCCATGCATCTCAGATTTAATATTGTTAAACAATACCTTTAATGGGTAGACTCACATTACGACATTGGCTGTAGGAATTCATCACCTTTCTGAGACTTTGATTGTGCATGCATGTCTACTACTACTGCACATTTGAACTGTGCCACTTTTTATTTTCTGTTTTATATTTCCCCTCTGTACATCATCTATGTTTATAAATAACTACAAAGTGTGCAGGAGGTGTACTCGACCATATTGGGAGTGAGAATTTATGCCAAATCATCTATGAGATGTCTTATCTTAACTGTCTATCTCTGCTCATTCCGATGTTCCCCAAAGTTTTTCTTCTCTCCCCGGTCTTTATCTCTCTCTTGTCCTTGATCTGTCAACATTTGACGTCTTTCCGTTAAATTTTACACAATTTTTTTGCGCCATCTGAATAAGCAATTTCGCAATGAGAGCCCGGAAAATCAATGAGATTGATTTTATTGGTTTTATGCAATTCCCACGGAGACATGCGAGAAATCACAAAGTCTTAAGACTGCCGTCTGAAATTGTAGGCATTTATGCTAAACTGCCCTGGCAAGAAGGACACTGAGGGGGATGTGTCTTGCGTCCTTCTTGCTTTGAGTATGAAATGTTCCATATTAGTGAATGTGTTGAATGTCAGAGTTTTGAAGTATAGAGTTTCTAGGTGAAATCCAGTTTGAAAATAGTTTTTATGATATTAGAGGTTTCTGATTATTTGGAAGGAAAAAAATGTCAGTGCATATTTAGGCCCCTCTGCTACTACCGAAGAAAGATATATATTGAATAGCTGAACATCAATTTTATATTTTGCAATTTGCATTCCATGACACCAATTAGGATAGGATTTTT